CCCCCCTCCCCCCCTCCCTCCCTCTCTATGTCCCCCCTCAACTCCCTCCAGAGGAAATGACTTAATTTTTAATGGTTTCTGTTTTAAGCTTTTGTGGTGATTATTTCCATATTGCTAAATAATATCTTTTCACCACAATTTCTTGCTTTATCAACTTTAGACATCATATACTGATTACTGATTCCATAAGGATTTATTTGTAGCATTACAGTTCTTCATCCTCCTTCACTTTTCCTCCAGTTACTTTTTTTTGTTGTTGTTGTTCCTTTATTGGATACCTTTCTAACTTTAAATAATAGAAATATGCCATTGTTTTTTGTTTCATCAACACCAGTCAGTATCCCTTTACTGCCCTTCTTTGTACTATAATTAAATTATGCTCTTCTTCCTTTCACCTCTATTCCCTCCTTCTGCCTGTTGTTTCTACTTTTACTCTTATGTTGTCAAGCTTGAAATCAGTTGCCAGTCTTTAAGTTGGATATTGGGGTCGGAGATAAATTTGTATAATCCATCTACTATCTTGGTCCCCCAGTTTTCATTTTAGTATCTTAGTAGATGAGTTTTCATAATATAAATATATTAAAAATTTGTTATTTTAAACATAATGTATTGATTTCTAAAAAGATTCTTGCAAGTTTTTGAATTCCCTATTATTTTTTTTACTTTGCAGGTACGGAAAACTTTTTTCACCTTAGCATTTTGTGACTTTTGTCGAAAGCTGCTTTTCCAGGGTTTCCGCTGTCAAACATGTGGCTATAAATTTCACCAGCGTTGTAGTACAGAGGTTCCACTGATGTGTGTTAATTATGACCAACTTGAGTAAGTACAAAAAGAAAAAAAACTCTCTTCTACCATTTTACACTTAAATTTTCTTTATGTGAAACTAGTGTGTCTTAAAGTCTGTGTGAAAGTTTTCTGTCCAGTACAGTTGTTACAAAGAATTCTTTTAAAATGTTGTTCGAGTAGTATGGCTAGCACTTCTCTCCCATTTTGTAATTCTAATTCAGCTGTAATTTAATTTATGTTTTATATTATCTTTTAATTAATAAAGACCCCTAGCCCATAGAAATCACTTTTGGATAATTTTGGGGAGGAGAGGGAGTGTTGGTTCAGTTACATTAACCTTTATGTTTTTGGACCACAGATTGGTGGGTCTGATTTTGTCAGCTATTTTGTAAATTATGTTTATATTCTCTCTCTTTCTCCCCACCATCTCTCTTCAACTTTCTTCTCCCAATTTATTTAAGAGTAAAATATAAATCCTTTTTGCCCAGTATATCTCTAAAATTTCTCTTTGCTTTATGCCAGAGCTTTTCTAATAGATTAGACTGAGTCAATTATAACCTCCTTTTGTGTCTTTGTTGCTACTGCTGCTGTTAAGGTCTTATTATTTTTCTTGATGACTTGAGGGAACAGAATTTAACTCTCTTTTAATGTAAATTATAATGATGTAATCTAACTTAGCAGTAGATACTTTTTCTTCTAATTCCTTAACCATAAAGCATGATTTTCCCCCTCTAATATGTAGAAATTTGCTCAATAGAACTCTTAGTTTTAGATCCTTGAGCTTACCTTTGAAAGAACAATATAATTTTTAATAAACCTTTAGACAAAAATACAACTAATTGAATTTTAACAATTGTTTCTGAAAATGGAATTGGTCCCAGATTTTTCTGTTAACTACGTATTGTATTCTGGTATATGAAGCTTCTGGGTTTTGCACAAGTTAGGTTTGTTTTGTTTTGTTTTGTTTTTGCCTCACAGTTTGCTGTTTGTCTCCAAGTTCTTTGAACACCACCCAATACCACAGGAAGAGGCCTCCCTAGCAGAGACCACCCTTTCATCTGGATCATCCCCTTCTACAGCCCCCTCAGACTCTATTGGGTATGATTTGATTCCTGCTTTTCAGTGACATGCTATTTGAACTGCTTTCTTTTGGATCTTTTGGTTAATTGTACATCTTTCCAACATTTGAATTCTTAAATTAAGGACTTTTTAAAAAAATAACTTATTTTATCACTCAAGTCAGATATTTGCATGCATTTGACACAGATAAATGGGATTAAAGCTGACATACACTGCTTCAGGACTAGTCCAGAAAAAAATCAAGCAACAGATAATTTTGAGTCCCTGCCTTGTGCTCATCATTTTATTGGGTAAAATTAGATTAGAAGTATATGACTTCTATTTATAACAATAACATTAACATATGATACAATAGCAAATAATTTAAATATAGTACAAAATTAAAATCTACAGTTTATGATGGAGTATATTAAACCATGTGTTGAGGACATAAATGTTTTCTTGTTTACAGAAGGGAGAATAGTGAGAGAGAGAAAGAAAGAGAATGAGTGCTTGGGAAAACTTCGTAAAGAAGATGAACCTTAAAGAAGTACTAGACTCTGAATGAGTCTAAGAATAAAAGCATAGTAATAGGGGGATGGCGAAACAGCATAAATAAAGGGGATGAGGATGGTAGGTGTAGGAGCTAGCAAAGAAAGGCTTATCTAAGTTGAGAAGTACCATGTGTAAGACCAAATTATGGAGAATCTTGGAATTTAGGCTGGAATTTAGACTTGACACAAGAAGGGGAAAAAAAAGAATTAAAGGTTCTCAAGAAGATGACTAACCTAATGAAAATGATTTTAAAGAAAGAATTACTTAGCAGTGAAATATAGATGGATTGGCAAAGTCTAGGGTGAAGAAGGCCAGCTAGGATGCTATGGGAGTGAAAACTGAGAAGCAGTGAAAACTTGAACTGGAGTGGTAGTAGTGCAGAGATGGGATGGTTATTTATAAAGTATTTTTTAAAAGTTAATAGTAGTAGTAATAAGTTGTGGAGGAGAAAGGAGAGAAATGACTTTAACAACAGTGCAAAGGCATCATGTATGTAAGCTTTATACTAGGTGAAAAGAAAAGACACAGTGATGAATTAAATGGATGTTCGTTTGCTTTGGGACATTTTTACACAGGTCTGCTTATTCTTTCCCTATTGGATTTGAGGCACCATTATTTATGCTATGCTTGGAAGCCTATGGTTAAAAAACAGAGTCCCTGTATAGCATTCTGTTCTAGAATATTTCAGAGATACTTAGTTAAGATCAGAAATATTTATTGTGCGTTTACCCCTACTTCCTCCCACTCTTCACAACATAATGCTATTTCTTTAGACTTCTACCTAGAAAGATTTTAAAAAGTAAGTTGACACTTCTAATAGGCCTGTGATTTTTATGAAGCCAGCCTTTATGAAGTCTCATAAGTTAGAGAATTTAGCAAAAAAATTTTTATTAAGGAGTGGGTGTTCTTTGTCAGGTTGTAGCATTTATCCACTCTGGTGGAGTCATTTTATTCTTGCTGGCTCTATCATTAGCTGTATGCAACTGTGTGTTTTTTAGATGGTCAAATCAAAATGTTGTTATTGTTTGTTTCGATTTTTAATTAATCCTTTGGCTATGACGTTTCCTCCTGACAGATTCTATAGACCAAGATGCCTTTCTAATGGCAGGTCCCAGTTCTGTGAACAGAGTTATAGAACAACATAGTGAGATTAGCTTGGCCTCTCTGAAGATTTATAATGGTAATGGTCCAGGACATTTGCTTTCCAGTGGAGGAATGTCATCTTAAAATTAAGAAACCATTTGCCTATACCATGAGTATTTTATTCATAACTTAACTGAAGTAGGTTCTGGTCTTAAGCAAATGATGAGAAATATGTTCAAACTTTTCTGTAAATCATTTTTCTAATGTTTTTGTGTCACAGATATATTTGGTTGCCTCTGTAAAGATGGAAGCCAATCTTGTTCAATATCCAACCCCTTTGCGTTTTGTTACTAGTCCTGATAACATTTATAATGGTTATGAAACAAGTATAATAATGTATAATAATGGATGTAACCAAGTATAAACAAGTATAATAAAGTATAATAATGGATGTAATCATTAAATATCGAAGAAGTTATATTTCCAGTACAGAGTTTCCAGTTTCCAATACAAAGTGAGAGGTGCCTCCTTTTTTACTTTTTAAAAATGCCACAGAATGTATAAATTTATGAAAGGTCAGCATTTAAAATTTACATATCAGTGAACACAAGTCACTTTGCTTCAGAACTTTCAAATATTCTAGATTAAAAATGAGATCTAAACTAACTGGTAATTTATTAAAGGGTGTTAAAGTTAAAATTCTTTCCATTTATTTATTTATTTTATTATTTTTGGGGGGCGGCTGGCCAGTACAGGGATCCAAACACTTGATGTTGGTATTATAACACTGCGCTCTAATCAACTGAGCTAACCAGCCAACCCTAATATTCTTTTTATTTTTAATTTGGTACTACTTTAAAGAGGATTGCAGCAAGATAGGTAAAGGTATCATCAGGAAAAAGCCAGTTTGCTGACTGCCAGGATACTTGACAGGGTATAAATTACCTTGGTCCAGGTAAATATTTCCTGGTAGGGAAACTCAGTTTCATCAGTTCCCAGAAATGATGAGAGTTAGGGATATACTTGTTTACATTAAACAAAATCAGAAAAGACTAAATCAGAATACCAGGTAATTTATTTCAGTGAGAAATACACCTGTTATATGAAACAGACTACTTCTGTTGGATGGACCAGCACTCACTCCTCTCATGGAAGATATTTATGGGTATAATCAGAAGATTATTTTTGTTAAGGAGGGAATTAGGTTGTGGTTCAGATATTTAGTGACATCGGGGTATGGTAACTTGAAGTATTCTCTATAATTATAACATATACTTGTCCTCAAGGCTGCTAGATAAGTGGACTTTGTGGACTAAGGCACACTTTTCCCCAGGGCGGTATTAGATACCAACTGCCAAACTTAGTCTGGCTGATTTTGTGTAATGGGCAGATATCCTCATTTTCTAATGTAGGCATTCCTTTCTTTAGATATGATAATGAAACTTACATGTTAAATGTAGGTTTTTGTTTTTCTTGCTTCTGGACCAACATTCTTTGCCATACACATTTCTGATTTCATAGTCGTTTCTGTCATAGTCGTAGCTTAGTAAATTTCAGCAATGACTTATTGACACTTCCACCTATACCAGATCAATCATTATATTAATTAGACTATCCTATACAGTTCTAGTTAATTCAGTCTTTTTCCATTTTTAAGTCCTTTGAGACTTTAAATCAGCCTATAAATAGTTAACAGTCAGTGCACTTTCCAAAACTTTTTTTTTTAACATATCATTTTTACATTCTTTTACCTACTCCCAAAATTCATTAGCAAAGGAAAGGCCATATATTTGGCTGCCTAAAGCAATAAATAAAGACAGCTCTGTCAAAAACTAAAAATTTTTTTTTCTCTATTTTTAATAATGTGTTTCAGAGAAGTAAAACTATAAACTGGTATGGTTCAGATACTTTGACACGCTTTATTCAGAGGCTTTTTGTCAGTATTTGGCTTCCTTTGCCCTTCAAAGCTTTATCCATTCCTTTCCTACTGTATTTTCTTCCCATTACTCTCTAAACCCTCTCCTCTCACAAAATGTCTTTTTTATTCCTTCAACATTGTTTTTCTGGCGTGTCTTAATAACTACTAAATAATGCTGATAAGTTAGAGAGTTTACATAAGATGGAGTGGAATGATAACCAATATGTGAAGAGACCTTGTTAGTGCTGAGTCATTCATTGGTTCTGATGGAGCTCAGTGACACAGCCATACCTCATCTATCGAGTGATACTCACTTCTCCACTCCCTAGGATATCCTTTCTGAGGGGCATAAGACTCCTTACAGGTGCTTACAATTTATTCTCAGGAACTTAGTGTTCTCTTTAGGTTCGTTTTAGGGCTAGTGAGAGATCATAGACTGTTATTTATCTACATTACCAAAATAGGTCACTAAGTGACCTATTTTGGTGGTTGGTCAAAAAGCAATCTTTAAAAATATTTGCTTTAGGGCCGGCCCGGTGGCGCACCGCGCTAGTGCGCCGCTTGGGAAGTGCGGCGGCGCTCCCGCCGAGGGTTCGGATCCCACATACAGACCGGTTCCCGCTCACTGGCTGAGCGAGGTGCGGGGGCAACACCGAGGGTTGCGATCCCGTTGCCGGTCCCGGTCCGGTACGGGCGCGACACTGAGGGTTGCGAACCGTTGCCGGACACAGAAAAAGACAAAAAAAAAAAAAAAATATTTGCTTTAATATTTTCTATATGATTCCCTTGTGTCTCTGGTATCGATAATTGGGCATGATAAAAATTTCAAAATACAAGAGATATTGGCACCATGAGGATTTTCTTCTGAATCTGGAAATGGTCTTTTGATATTTTGTTCAGGATTTTCATTTAACTCTGGTATAAAGCAACAGGTACATCTTTCAGGTTCTGAAATACACATGTGTATTCTCAAAATATTTATAACTTCCTAATACTTTCCATAAAATTTCCATTTTGGTAATTTCAGATATCAAGAAATTGCAAAGTTAGAAAAAGTGGCAATTGGGCCGGCCTGGTGGCGTACTGGAGAAGTGCGCCGCTTGGGAGCGCGGCAGTTCTCCCGCCGAGGGTTCGGATCCCATGTGGAGACCGGTTCCCGCTCACTGGCTGAGCGCGGGGTGGGTGCAACACCGAGGGTTGTGATCCCGTTGCCGGTCCCCAGTGCGGGCGCGACACCAAGGGTTGCGATCCCGTTACCGGTCAGTAAAAAGGAAAAGAAAAAAGAAAAAATGGCAAAGTTAGAAAAAAATGGCAGATTTAATTCAATCAATCTTTGCCTAGAACATTTTTGTATAACTTTAAAGAACAAGAACTTCTGGGCCGGCCCGGTGGCGCACTGGAGAGTGCGCTGCTTGGGAGCACGGCGGCGCTCCCGCCAAGGGTTTGGATCCCACGTGGAGACCGGTTCCTGCTCACTGGCTGAGCGCAGTGCGGTCGCAACACCGAGGGTTGTGATCTCGTTGCCGGTCCCGGTATGGGCGCGACACTGAGGGTTGCGATCCCGTTACCGGTCAGTAAAAAAAAAAAGAAGAACAAGAACTTCTTCAGCTGATTAACTAACCACAGATAATATCCAGCCATTTGTAAATTCCCCTGGAGTTCTCTGGATAAGAATCAGTGTTATCACTGATAGTCCCTGGAGTGTCTGCTTGAGTAAAGCGGCTTTGGCAGTATTAGTTGTAGGTCTGTATTAGTTTTTTTAATTAATACTTTTTAAAGCCCTTACTGCTGGATTTTTAGTGCTTTATTTTAAAGATTTTGAGAATGTAAAAATAAGGAAACCTTTATATCTTCCATTTTTTAATATTATTATCTCTATATAGTTGTTCTGAATCTTATTTTCCAATGACTTGATTTTTCCAGGCCCCAAATTCTCACCAGTCCATCTCCTTCAAAATCCATTCCAATTCCACAGCCTTTCCGACCAGGAGATGAAGATCATCGAAATCAGTTTGGGCAACGAGACCGATCTTCTTCAGCTCCCAATGTGCATATAAACACGATAGAACCAGTCAATATTGATGTAAGTATCCAGCATTGCTAGAACTAAAAACATTCAGTGTATTTTTTTTATTTTTCTGGTATAATTATAATATAGATCAGAAATAAGTGCCATCTTTCATTTATCACAGTTATTTTAAGTGATAGGTTTTTTATCAATCAGATCAGAAAAGCCTGTCATCTTTTCTGATGACGTTAAATACTTCATTGGTGCCAATTATGCAGTTATTCTGATTTTTGTCCTTATGACACAATCTCTGTAACAGTCTTATCTTCAAATGAGAATGATTTGAATATCAAAGGATTGATAGAGGCCATTGGGGGAATTAATAAAGTCCTCTAAAATTTTTATTAAAATAATTGTTATTGTCCTGTAAAAGATGGATGTGGAATTTAGAATTTCAATTTGTACTACCATAAGTTTGGCATTATGACCAACAACAACTTGATTCTTTCTCTTTTTATTTTAATAATTAGTGTATGGTTGGAACAATAACTTAAATGTTATTAAATGTGAAAGAAAAACTTTATTATAAATTTTACTTTTACTTTTAAAAATTAATTCCCAAATCAGACTTTCTTCCCACTTTTTACTGTGAATCCTTTTCTCTTTTTATTGGTTCATTTTAAGGGGGCTTTTTCCTGGTGCTAGTTTTCCTCAGTTAATAAGATACTCCTCTAGCTAGCAAGATCTGAATACAAAGTAAGAAAGAAGTAGGAGAGGGAAACCTGGGAATAAGGAAATTGTGAAATGAGAAATCAAGCCATGTTTTTAGATTAGGTCTATTCTCAGTATGTCCAAAATTGTGACCTTTACTTTCAAAACTAACATCCTTTTAGACTCTTTCTCTTTTTACCACTGTTTTCTTGGTCTCTTGGGCTTGAACATTTGGAGTATCATCTTTATGTCCTGCCTTTTCATCCTCCTGTATAACCAAGCAGTCATAAGATACCACCTTTTCCTTTCCATGAACCTTTCAAACTGGTTCTTACTTATCACCATCACCATTTGGGCCCATATTTCTTCACTAAAACTACTTAACTACATTAATCTCCTAAGTGGATTTCCTGCCATTGATCTCTCTCTGTTCATTCTCATTCCTTAATGCTGTCGCCAGAATAACTTTGTTACAACACCTCTGTCATCTTCTGTTTCCTTGTTCCAAAACTTTCATTGATTTACCTTTAATTACAAGGTAGAGTGTAAACTCTTTAGCATTTTCATTCCACTGTTAAAACCTGTTGTTAAAACCTGTTGACTCTGGGCTAGGCAGTTGGGGATTAAGAATGAATTAGCATATGGTCTTTGCCCTCAAAGAAGTCACAGTCTAATGGATGAATCAGACATATAAATAAATAACCACAAAAGATAAAATGGTAGTTTAGAGAAGGGGATAATAAACTCTACCTGGTTGGATCTAAGAGTATTTAGCAGAGAAGGCAACATTTAAGCCAGATGGAAAAGATGAGTGAATAGGAGTTGCGGGGGGGGGGGGGGGGGGGGGGGGGGGGGGGGG